GCAATGCCAAGTGGTTGTAGGATTGTGTGGTACGTGGAATGTATTTCCAGGGTGTGCAAGGTACCCCTGTTGTATACTGCGTCGCCCCCTCATGGTGGTGCGTGCACGCGTGCGTTCAGTTCATGTGAGTTAATGTGAAGGAGAAGTTTATGCAACAAACCCTACACGTCTTTCCTCCTTGGCGCGAGTTCGCCGAGTTGCTGACACCCTATTCAACACACGTCTTGCGACAAGCTACCCCCAGTTCGGATCATCCTAACAATGTGACGATCCAGCAGTAGAAAAGCCCCTGCCTCGACTCTGCTGCTACTACTACCACTGCTGCTACTCCTAGACAGCAGGATCATCATGTCAACGCACAGACAACAGCGGTTTAAGCAGATAGGGGTTCCGCGGGGTATCCTCTGCGGGGGGGTTCGAAAATGACGTGGACCACGTACGCGTGTGTGCCGGAGGTTGGCTGTGTGGTATCTTTTCCGTCTTCTATCTTGCAGAGTTTTCAAAACCTTCTACATACATACAGCAGTAGCTCACCAGCCTACATTTGCATCTCTCGGCTGCCGTGGTGATTGGCTATCCCATAGAGTCTAACCGCATGCTGATCTCCAGTACACACCCATGAATCTGGAGTTCTCCATGCTGTGCACAACGTTGAACCCAACCCAACACATCACGTTACGAAATATGTCTGATCCCCTGCATCAGCAGCAGCCAACTCACCTTCGCCTTGAAGCGACCGTAGGGCTCTAGCTCCGACTCCAGGATGCCGCAGTCCTCCGCTACCTTGGAGATGTGCGCCAGCGAGCCTTCCAGCGACTGAGATACTTCGATGTCGCGAGGCACCGGGGAGGAGACTTGATCGCTCGTGAGCTTCGACATGTTTTTGCTGGGGCTTTCGAGCGTAGTAGAATGCCGCCCAACCACGTGGGTGTGGCGAGCCGCAGCAGCAAGAGGCAGGCGGCGGATAGAGGGGTGGAAATACGGGAGGAATCGCAGCACAGAAATGTTGCAAACACGCGCGTACGAGAACGGTGTCGGGTCAGGCAACCCACTGCTGTGCGTTTGCTGTGATTGTGCGGCGCGATTTGTGGAACACGAAAAACGCCAATATTGAAAAATACGGGGACGGAAACAGTTTTTCTTTGTTTTAAATATATTACAACCCTTGTTCCAGCAGAGAGCTGCTGCAGGGCACGCTGCACTCTGCAACACTTTGCTGTGTTGGTGGGCAGCAAAATGCGAGAGTCTAAGGCGGGGATGAAGAAGGAGGGGGGAGGGGCAGCTAGGCTAGGGATCGGAACTTTCAGTCGAGGCCCCCCGCGTCGCTACATGGCTATCGAAGAGGTATGCAGCACGTACGTACACATGTCAACACACCGACATGTCGCGGAGTGCAGTTGACACACACAGCAAGTAAGGAATGCCAGGAGTGTCACTAGTAGTACCTTGCCTGCGCTGAGAGAACTGTTTTCAACTCAACACATTGCAATAGGAGAGTGCCTACAGGTTTTTAATGTTTTTTCGTCGAGACATTGGTACCTCCTCTGTTGTGTGGGAAACCCGTGGGCTGTGAGGGGGGTGGTATCGTGGTACCTCAACGCGACCTGCTGCCGACTGCTCCTATAGATACAGATGTTGTGGGCCCTCTTGGTGCCGGCATGTGTCCAGAGATTTTTCCGGCGCTATTTCGGACACCGGCACTATTCAAAGTACAGAACTACGTGGTATTTACTTGTGTGCGAGCCGACAACACAGGGACTATAAGCGGACACCCGGTACTGTTCGGCCTGCAGTATACAGGGGCCCCTACCCCATTCACTACTGTGTACGCCTTATCGAATGTACTTGCCCACCGAACGAGCAACTCTACAGAGAAAGTTATCTATGGAGGTGTGCGCGCAGCTTGGGTATGAATTTGTTCGCAAGCGAGATGCTGCTGTTGCATAACCACACCGCAACCACGCGAATTGCGCCAGTGTTTCCAAGATCTCGTCCCAGCTGACACATCACATGTTCTGCATGCCGAGAGCGGTGCTGAATCTGCAATAGACTGACTCCAAGATAGGTAGAGGACGTGGGACAATTTGCGAATCCTTTTAGTTCCCGGTGGTCAACCATGGAGAAGCAGTCAGGGACGGAGGCCACTCCGGCCGTACAAGAGCGGGAGCGTCCAGCTTTGAGTGGGCGTGGGCACCCCCAGTCCGTATCTGTCATAGCAACGGCAACACCAACAGCAATTTGTCTCACGACACATCACTGCTTGTTGAAAGGGGTCGGACCATGCTGCATACTTGCGGGGGGAACCCGCGGCGCACGCAATTTCTGAACATGTACATGTCTATGGACCGGTTTTTCGCGTGTCAAGGCAGTTGTTCTCGCTTGCATCGGCAGCATCCGTGTTAACGGTCGTGCCGTCTCACAAACCAAACCCTGCGCATGTTGACGTTTTTGCTGGGGTGAAAAGGACCTATCGCAGTGCTCCATTGAGAGGTACATGTACTGGTATTTTGTATGTTGTGTGAAATTGCCACCAGCATTGCCTACCCCCCCCCCCCCCCCCCCCCCCCCCCCCCCCCCCCCCCCCCCCCCCCCCCCAGATCAACAATCTAGCGACATACGACATGCTTTTACAACATGTAACCCGCGCCCCCTCCTCCTCCTCCTCACCCCCCCGCCGACCCGTCCTTCTGCGTTGCAACCACGGGCACCAAATATATACACGCCTCCACCAAAACTATAGTACGCCGTGGACTGGAACGGCCCGTCGACTGCACCACCCCCCCGCCTACGGCTGTTGCTGCTGGCGGACGTGGACCTGGCCTCCGCGGGAAGGATAGTGGAGTGGGCCATTCGGGGGTGAGCATCGAGAACGTACAGTAGGTGCCCAGGGTGTGCGTGCGGGTGTTGTCCCATCTGGCGCCCGTACTTGTTTTTGTGTGTATTGTTGCTGCCATTGATTGTATACTACTGCGTGCGTTTTTGTTGTTTGTTGTCGTTGCTGTTGCTGTTGCTGTCGCTGTGCTGCTGCTGCTGCTGCTGCTGCTGCTGCTGCTGCTGCGACTGCTGCTGCTGTTGTTGTCGTTGATGATAACTACTGCGTACGTTGTTGTTATTGTTGTTGCTGCGCTGCCACCGCTGCTGTTATCGTCATGGTTAACCTCGTTGGTATTGCGCAGATGATATACTACTGGCGTGCGTTGTTGTTGTTGCTGCTGACGCTGTTGTTGTCGTCATCGCTCACTTTCATACGGACGTTGTTTCTCGCTTGCCAGCGGAAAGGCCTTCGACCTCTGCGCGGTGTGCGGCGACTTCGTTCCGAGACCGGAAGGATGGTCGCCCGACGGCGAGACGAAGGAGCAGCTCTCGGCGGAGGAAGGCGAAATGTCGTCCACGCTAGGCAAGCTTGAAGACAGTAGGCTTCGCGAGTGTATGTATGCTTGGTTTTTGTAGGGGGGTATGGGGTGGTGTTGGGGTTTAGGGATAGGGATACGAACCCCTACTCTCGTTTTCTTGGGAATATTTTTGATAAGTACAAATCAAAGAATGACTCGATTCGCATAGTAATAGTACAATTCCCGATCAGGCGGTTCGCGTCAAATGACGCCGGCCTAAAATTCTGTTCTTGTAATGTGTCGTATGATCCGCAGGGTTGCCTTAGATTCCACGATTCGATTTTCGAAGCCCGATGTCTCTGTAGCAAAATCAGAATCGGTAGGCGGCCTTGAATCCGTCGTGTCGATAGCTTTTCGGACGTGCATCGTTTGATATCTTGGCTTCCTCTTGGTCGTGGAGAAATCGATCGGTTCAGGGAGGTGTGGCATCTTGTGCAACCTGCATGGTTTCCTCGTCCCTGGATTATCCTCTGGCTTGGTGCTCCTCTATCGCTTTCTTCCTTCGACATTGGCAGGATTTTCAAGTCGAACGTGCACACGTGTAAGGCTCGACCTCTTCCAACAACTTGGGTACTCCCTCCCCCCCCCAACTGCTACGCCCCCGCAGCCCAGCTGGAGAACATAGTCTGTCGCGTCATCTACGTCCCGGGGCCGCTTGACCCGGTCATGTCGTCCATCCGGCTACCGCGAACGCGGAATACCGCGGCCGTGCCCACCACGGCATCGCAGCCGGCCCCGGCTGCTGGTGCCGGTCCTGGCGCCGACGCTGGGCGTGAGGCCGAAGGGCGAGGGGGGAAGGGGGGTGGCGGGAAGGAGAGGGTCCTGCAGCTGACGCCAACGTCGAAGAACGTGTTGCGGTGAGGGTTGGGTGTTGTTGTTGTTGTTGTTGTTGTTGTTGCTGCTGCTGCTGCTGACGTTGCTGCTGTTGTTTTTGTGGTTTTCTTTGTTTTTGTTGTTGATAGTGTCGTTGCTGTTGCTGTTGCCGTGGTTGCAACGCGTCGGTCTCGCCCAACGAGGCTTTCGGTTGTTACTAGCAGGAGGAAAGGACGGTTCGTCTGAAAAGCGATGCGTGCTCCATGTCAAAGACTATTCCAAAGCGGCTGAGCCCCCCCCCCCCTCTTGCCCGTATACAGACGAAACCTTCGCCTAGCGCCCGGCCTTTCTGCGGCGGGATTCTCCGAAGACCCGAACCAATGGCCAGGCAACACGGTCGGAGCCGGGGAGGGTGGTGGCGCCGGCGACGACACCCCCGAAGATCAGACATTCGCCGCCTTGAAATCTCTCAGCCGGAGCGGCGGCAAGAAGGGGGCCGGAAAGGCGGCGCCGGTACCGCCGGAGTCGGTCATCCTGCTCACGAGGCTAGGCGGCCCGCAACGACCAGGCGCCGGCGCCGGCGGGGCCGGGGCCAACGTCAGCTCTGCCGATACGCCGCCGGTGTCGAACAGCAACAATGACCAGGACACGCTGAACGTGGCGGAGGGCGCCGCTGGCCCGACCGCGCTAGAGGATCAGGCGGCGGCAACAGCCGCACGGCTCCGTCTCCTGTGGACCGAGCAGGCCATGGTGGTAGGACCGGAATCGGGGCCCCGCGGTTTGGAAGAAGGCGGCGGCGGCGGCGGCGGCGGCGGGTTGCTGCTGCACGCTTGCGCAGGTCCCGGAACCTTCCTCGCGGTCCGCGAGGCTCTCGAGGAGGGAGGAGCGGAGCCGGTCGGCGGAGGAGGGGCTGGGGGCGACGGCGATTGCGCGGGGGTAGGGTGCAGGGTCGGGGGGGGCGCCACTGTTGCCGCGCTCGGAAGCCTGAGGCAGCACGGCGCGTACTGCGTCGTAGAGCTAGACATGCCCACCCCCGTGCCACCGGGACCTAGAAGTGGCAACGAGAGCGGCGGTGTAGGGGCGAAGGAAGGCTGGTCAGTGGCGAGTGTTGCCTTCGGTAGGGTGGAGGCGGCCGATGGGGACCCGGAGGCGGAGAGGGAGAAGCTGGCTCGCAGGGCAACCGGGAGCTTCGTTCTTAATTTTGAGTAACGCTGTTGTTTCATTTGCAGTGCAAGGCCACATGGCACATATGAGTTCACTACTTTTGTGTCCTGCACCATCTTGTCTGTTGGTGGAGGTGGAGCTGTTGTGTTTTGTAAGAAATGCAAGCAAGGCGTTTGCGTCTATAATCGGTGCTTTTGAAGATGGACTCTTTTTTTTTTCTTGTGAAGACGATCGTGACTCAGTTGCCCGCGAAAAATACCCGAGCTGCATGACCAACGTCCAAATCCAAGCACTACGTGTACACAAAGGAAGTGGATGGAATAAGGATGAGACCGTGTACATCAGGCTAGTGTGTCTTTTTTCCGTCGGCAGCGATGGGTTCATTGCATGCATGGTTCAGTTCAAGTATTGGTGGTACACAGTTGGGGCGCTGTGCGTGAATGTTGGCAGTCAGTGGGAGGTCGACTTGTTGCGCGAGAGAGTCCATGTTTCGTCGATGTTTTTTTTCGTAAGGGGTGGTGCTTTTTTCAGAGCTATGACCGGGTAGAATTGGGGTGATGATGAACGGTTGCTGGGCACACGCCCTAGACGTCCCCAGACGGTTATCGCCAAGTGTCGTAGCTTGGAGTGTCCTTGGAAAGGTTAGCCCTCGTGCTTCCCACGGCAAGCTCGTTAATCGCTTATCATGCCGAGAGAGGGGCCTTCCTCTGTTGTCGATGCCACGCTGCGATACGAAAGCTTGTAAGGACGAGACGTTTCAATATGTAAGCTTTGTCGTTTTCTACGCTTGTGAGTGCTCCCAACACAGCGGCAACGCGCTACCGATCGAGACCTTCACTTGATCGCTCCGTCGTTCCCGCCGCATGTGAGTACCCCAACGCAACGGCAACGCACCGCTGACGGCAGCGCTACAATCTACGACATCATTCGTCTATTCAGCAACCCACACGCGCACGCACATGCACACACGAACATCTACTTCACCTTAAAGAGCCAACCTCTTGGAGAAAAGGGTAATTAGGACTCCTCTCCCTCCACACGCCCCCTTTATAACCAACACCCGCCAGAAAGAGTCAAGACAAGAGACAATCAAAGACAACGCAGAAATCAGCCGCAAGCCGCAGCAGCAGCAGCAGCAGGAGCCTATTATAGTAGTGCGAAATGCACCGAATTATACAGTTGTGTGACCACCGGCGATACTGCTCTTGGCGATAGATCCACATGAACAACAACAGAAAGACAACACTATCGGTGCATTTACGCACGCTCAACAAACACTATTGTAATGTAACGGTCGCATGTCGCTCAGAGTACCACGCCGAAATTCAACCCCTTCCTTTAGTCAATAAGCCGCTTATGAACACGGCGCGGGTCTGGCGGCTTCATCTAGAATCCCAGCAAGCAACAAAAAAACTGTGTACTGCCCTCTTCGTAAATAGTCTAGATATCGACAGCAACGTGCCAGCTCCGCACATACCAGATATCAACAGCACTGTGCCAGGTTGGCAACACGAACAGCCGAGCTTTTGTCGGAAAAGCGCTCGACGGCAGCGCCGAGGGGGCTTTTTGAGCTTATGGTACGGCAAAACTCGCTGTGGCTCTTACCAGCAGTAGACTGACCAACATCGCTTCTCGCCAAGACGTCTCGCAAGAGTCTTTCGTTCCAGCAAAACACGTAACAACTTCCGTCGCCGTTTAATCCCTATCGATGGACATGCATGCGCCGCGTGTTATATATTGCGTCCGTCTACGGTGCTCTGTTGGAAGTCGGCTTTTCGACACGAAAAAACAATAACCGCATGCTCCATCGTACCACCAACGCAGTCGTTTTCACACAAAGCTCATCATGGTGGCTGGTACGAACGGGGGGCTAAGAACACCACACCACTCAAAGCCACAAGAGCCGCACAACACGACACAGAATTCAGCGACAAATCGCAAAGAAATCCCCCAACATACACCCAACAAATGCCACAAAGCTTGTTCGCTGACGTTGACACGCCCCGCCTTCAGCTTGCACATCCGCGTAGTCTAACCGTGATCACCGCGACCGGAACGCCCCCTCCACGCCCCCCATGAAGAAAAAAACGCCGTCACGCGCTACATCCCATGACAACAGAGGTTGGTCGATCATGACCGGCCGCGGGCTTGTGCAAAAAACTGCGCCCGAGGGTTCGATGCACCGCACCACCAGCGCACGACAGCAACCCATTCTTCGATCGCCCGCAGGGCCCCCGCGGTATCTGTCCCATGGCACACGCCGCCCGCCAAGGGCACGAGGTTCGAAGCACCACACCAGCCATCGGCAGACAACCCTTCCGACCCAAAGGAAGGTACTTCACCGCAGCGTTCTGTCCCGCATTACGCCCGCTCGCCCGCGTCACGAGGTTCGACGCACCGCACCAGCCCAGCCCTTCCGACCCGAACGAATACCACCTCGGTAGCGTCCTGTCCCCCGTGGTATGACACACGCCACCGCGTCACGAGCACAGCTCCAGCGACGGGAACCACGCGTGCTCGCCTGCCCCGGCCTCCGACACGCAGCAGTCCGCCAGGAACGCCGCCGACCCCGCCAGCCCCTCGAACAGCGACATGGGCCTGTCCGGCACCGCCTGCGACGGCATCTCGCCGCCGGCGCCGCAGGCGCCGCCGCTGCCAACGGAGTGGGACCTGCCCCCGGCCCCGGCCCGGCCGCCCCCGGCGCCGCCGTCGCCGCCGCCGCTGTCCCCGCCGCCGCTGTTGCAGCCGTTGCTTGGCCACCCGGCCGAGTGGATGCTCTTGCCCGCGTCGTGGGAGGACGAGCGGCCGAGGCCAAAGCCGCCGCCGCGAGGGTGGTGGACGTGGGCGCCGGGGCCGAAGGGATCTCCGCGGGAGGAGGCGTTTGCGCCGGTGGAGGAGTTGGGGCCGAGGATGGCGGAGGCCGCAAAACCTGGAGGGGGGTGGGGAGGGTGGGGGGGGGCATGCCATTGGGGTTAGACCATGCGAGAGGGGGGGGGCGTACTGCCTTAGCCATAAACTATCAAACAAGCAGGTGAACAAGAAAGCAACAAGCGAAGCAAGCAAGCAATAAGCAAGCAAGCAAGCAAGCAAGCCATCAACCAACCAAGCAACCAGGAAATCAACCAAGTAAATAATCAAGCAACCAAGCAAGGCACACACCAGCGAAACTCCTGGCCCTGTGCTGGTGTCGCCCGTCGGCGGCGTCGGCTTTTCTCAGCGACAGGAACGCGTAGCCGTTCCCGGCCACCCCGTGGCAGATGCCGTTGCCCTTCGTCAGCAGGCCCCTCTTCCACACCACCTCTGACGACCGTCTCGCCATCTCAAGGTACCTGCTCCATCATCCCGGGGGCGGGGGAGCGCAGTCGTGGTTCAATACCTGAGTTGTTAGACCACGCTTCCTCGAGAGGACGGAGCATTGTTCCCACAGGCCCGATCGCCGATGGCCAATCGTTCTGCCAAAGGTGGCTCATTGTGCTTTTTACTATCTTATCTATCCATGACACAGGGGTGCTCATATTTTGGCATGCCACAGTTGTTAGACAACATCCTCGAGACAACGGGGCAATGTTTCCCACAGGACCGATCACCGATGACCAATCGTTCTGCCAAAGATGGCCCAAAAGCGTTGTCCGTATCATATCTAATCCAAGAGACCGGGGGGATATTCCAAACCGGCCAAACGGAACGTGGTCACGGGTCGTTCCACAAAATATGGCCAACATCGCGCGCGGGTGCTACTGCTGTGTTGCGACGATGATAATGCTTATTTTGGGGTGGCACATACATGAGAGCCTTCAAAATCATGGGGCAGAGACGGGGCATGGTATGCATACATCTTTTCGACTGCAGTCACCCCTCCTGAGAACTTGATCAGTAACAACAACAAAAAATGAGAATGAAACACTGAAACCTGTCGAATTGTTCGAAAATCGAGCGTTCCGGGTGTTGCGCCGCGCTCGACTCTTACCGGTCGTCTTCGAACACCTCGTGGGCTTTGGTGAGCATTGGGATGATGCCGGGGGAGCCGTGGCACCACTGCACCAATCTGGCGATTGCAACGAAGGAGGCGATGTAACGGGGCGGGGGGGGGGGG